GGATGGATGGATGGATGGATGGATGGATGGATGGATGGATGGATGGATGGATGGATGGATGGATGGATGGATGGATGGATGGATGGATGGATGGACGGACGGACGGACGGACGGACGGACAGACAAACGGATATACAGCATATTGCATTAATTGGAAATTTTGTAAGGTGTGTTAAACTATAGTTGGAGAGTGCATGCTTCTGCTAAGATCCTATGTTTTGCAAATCATCACCACTTTGTCGGTGAAACAAAGTTCTGCTGGATGCTGATTGGCTGTCACAGTATGACATCACTAAAAAGCAGCCTCTGACTCTGTTGTCTGTTTAAGTTTCACTCTCTGTATCAGATCACTGAGAGCTGTAGTTCTGGCAAATGATGGCAGATCACCACCAAAAATGTAAAGAGTTATTCTTTGTAAATTCCTAACATGCCCTGAAAATTTCATGAAAATCCATCCATACCTTTTGGATAATCTTGTTCCCAGATGGACAAACAAACAAACACTACTCAAACATAACCTCCTTTGCAGAGGTAATGAAACCTTTCAGCTTTCAAGGTTGACATATTCTAATAGTACACACGTTTTTTGTCTTGTGGTACTAAGTACTAAATTGATTCCATTCAACATTACATAAGTAGTTCAGAGAACATGGCACCAGTCCTTGATTGCTTACGTAACTAATCCAAACCAGCATCATCTCTGATCCGTTTGCCTATTTCTCTCTGCAGCTCGCGCTCATTCACACTCCTGCTCGTGTCTTTTACCTCAGTTCTGACACACACAGCCTCCAGAGGGTCTCTCACGCTGCCAAGCCACAAAGTGTGATTCCTCCATCTTCAGTCCCACACCAGTAAAGCATATGAGACGTGTTGTCCTGTCAGAGAGAAGGTGGGTGTGCAGCAGACAAGAAAAGGAAATCAAGTATTTCGTCATTGCTCTTGTGTTTTATCGAAGTACTCAGAGGAGTGGGCGCTGTGGAGGCTCAAGTGCCCCCATCTCCCACGCTACAAGCCAAGGGGCTTCAGGACATTAAACCAGAAAAGTGTCTTTCCTGACACTTTCAATTTCAATCCAAAATGTCAAAAGTTCAAAGCTCCTCCTCCAAGACTATGAAAATCAAGAGATTTCAAGAGGAGATGCAAAACAAAGAACAAAGATGTGCAAACTGACGGCAAAAAAATACCACAAAAGGCCTAAATAACTCACACCTGGCTTTCCATCACTGCAAGATGCATCAACAGCATGGGAGAGTCTGTCCACAGAACAACAATCAGTCATACACTGCACAAATCTGGCCTTTGTGGAAGAGTGGCAAGAAGAAAGCCATTTCTCAAAGATATCCATTAAAAGTCTTGTTTAAAGTTTGCCACAAGCCACCTGGGAGACACCAAACATGTGGAAGAAGCTGCTTTGGTCAGATGAAACCAAAATCTAATTTTTTGGCCACAATGCAAAACGCTATGTGTGGCGGAGAAAGAACACTGCACATCACTCTGAAAACACCATCCCCACTGTCAAATATGGTGGTGGCAGCATCATGCTCTGGGGGTGCTTCTCTTCAGCAGGGACCGGGAAGTTGGTCAAAGTTGATGGGAAGATGGATGGAGCCAAATACAGGACCATTCTGGAAGAAAACCTGTTGGAGTCTGTAAAATACCTGAGTCTGAGATTTATCTTCCAACAATGATCCAAAATATAAAACAAAATCTTCAATGGATTGGTTCACAGATAAACATATCCAGGTGTTAGAATGGCCAAGTCAAAGTCCAGACCTGAATCCAATCGAGAATCTGTGGAAAGAGCTGAAAACTGCTGTTCACAAACGCTCTCCATCCAATCTGACTGAGCTTGAGCTGTTTTGCAAGGAGGAATGGGCAAGAATTGCAGTCACTAGATGTGCAAAGCTGGTGGAGACATACCCTAAAAGACTTGCAGCTGTAATCGCAGCAAAAGTTGGCACTAAAAGGTGTTAACGGAAGGCCCTCCTGGCGCAGGTGCCTCTGGGGTCTCCCTTATGTTGGCTTCGGGCTTTACGGGTCAGGTTTGTGGTCCCCCACAGTCACTTTTAAACATTCCATTGGAGAAGATCTTTTATATACATGCATGCTCACAACCGCACACAAACAGGTGTTTACATCCTGGGTTTTCTTGTCGGACACTGATTGAATATGTGCATATGTATGGAAATGTGTGTGTGTGTGTGTGTGTGTGTGTGTGTGTGTGTGTGTGTGTGTGTGTGTGTGTGTGTG